CAGTGAACTTCAGATCAGATTAAACATGGTGCCTCATGGATACTTTAATTAAATGATTGGGTGTACTCGATCTGAAATGTTTGCGTTAGTCAGTTCAAGAGGTTTGGACTTCCTCTCTCTTCAGATCATTCCATTGAATCTGAAGGTATGGGCTCTTATAGAAAAGGGGTGAGGGAGTAATCTTCCACCCTGTTCAGGTCAGTGATGTTAATGCAGATTCCCTACTTGCCATTGACCTTATTGACCATCACTACATTCTCTAGCCAGTCTATGTATGCCACTTCCCGGATAAAGCCGATGTCGAGCAAATTCTGTAATTCCTCGTTGTCACTTGCCACAATTTTGAGGTGAAACTCCTCTTCCTTTGCCTCATGGGTCGGTAGTGCAAGTCGGCGTTTAGGCGATGGGTGATGACCCTAGGGTCAATCCCTGGCATGTCTTCCACCAACTAGGCAAACACGTCAACGTTGTCCTTGAGGAGTTGCACAATGTCATCTCGAAGGTGGCCTTCTAGGAGGGTTCCAAGCTAGACCATCTTCTCGGGGTCTTCAATAAAAAGAGGTAGATGGACGAGGTCTTCTACTTTCCACGAGCTACGCCTACTCCGTACGGGGCCAGGAACTTTACGATCAGGTGGTATGTGGAGACTGAGGCCCGCAGGGCATTCAACGTTGGTCGACTAAGGATGGCATTGTAGGGGAAAGGACACGGGTGATGATGAAATCGACTATTGTCATAGTGGTGATGGGGTCATCGCCTATAAGTAGTGGTAGGGTGATTTTCCCCTGGGGCATGAGGGAGTCCCTAGAGAATCCCACCAAGGGGGTGTTGACTGGCGTGAGATGATCTTTGTTGATGTCAAGTTGTTCGAAAGATTATTCAAAGAGGATGTCGGCTGAGCTCCTTGTGTTTACTAGTATGCGTCGGACTTCGAAGTTGGCAACCTCGGAAGTTATCACAAGGGCATCGTCATGTGGCATTTGGACCTCCCTGAGGTCGTCATCGGTGAAAGTGATAGGATCATACTATCACCGTATTTTCTGTTCCTTGTCTTCGACCTGATGCAGTCTGGCATAGGCCTTGTTGGCCGAGCTGCTCTCCCCCTAGAAGTCATCTCGCCTGAGATGACAACGATGACTCGCACTAGGGCAAATCAGGCTAGTGGTACATTGCGGCGACATTCTTCCTCTTTTGGTTTGTGCTCTTTGATGTTCACAAACCCGTTGTGGTATCCTTGCTGGATGAGGCATTCCAAGTGCTGGCACATAGTGCCGCAACTATCGGTCTCGTGGCTATGGTCTGAATGGACGTCATAGTATTTCTCCCAAATTCTTTTATTGTTCTGGAACTTTATCTTCTCTGGCCACTGGGCGAAGCTGCGGTCGTAGATCTGCATCAGTATCTCGACTCGCGGTGCATTCAGGGGAGTGAAGTTCCTATACGTCGGTGGTAGGGTCCTCGGTCTATGGTCAGGTCGTCGGTCCTACCTTTTTCTTTCTCGGTCTGACCTGTACTCCTCACGATCTCTTTGCTTTTGGTCATACTAGTCTTCCTTGCTCCTTTGCAGCGCTTGGCCTTCCTCAGCGTTCATATATTTTTGGGCATGCTTCATGAGAGCCGTCAAGTTGGGATGAGGGTTCTTCTATAGCGAGAAGTTGAACATAGAGGAGTGTAGACCATTCATGATTGCAATCACTACTACTGATGGGTCCAAGGCTCGAACCTAGACGGCCTCGGAGTTGAACCTCGCCAAGTATTCCCTCAAGGTCTCTCCCTTCATTTATTGCACCTACATGAGGTTGGTCGATGTTTTCTAGTGTCTCTGACTAGCGGTGAACTATGCTAAGAATTGCATCTCTAGTTGCTCCCAAGAGGATATGGACCGCAGAGGAAGGGAGGCAAAGCAAGTTTTGGCGACTCCATGGAGAGGGGCGATGAAGGCCTTGCACATGAGACCTTTGGAGGAGCTGCGCAACATCATCACGGTCTTAAATCCTTCGATGTGGTCATTTGGGTCTGAGGCTCCATCGTACTTCTAGAACTGAGAAGGTTGCCAGCTGACTAGTAGGAGCTCATACACGATCTCTTGAACGAAGACTAGTGCCTTCACGAGCTAGATATAATGCTGTTTTGCGGACCAGGCCATTGGAGTAGCCATGCTTCTGTCTGCTTGCATGCGTTTTAGTTCGGATAGCTGTTCTCTCAGTTCCCTAATCTCTGTGTCTCTGTTGGCCGGGGTCACATCCACAGGCTTTTCTCCTTTTGGGAATGTAGGTTGGTCTCGAACCGAAYTGGACTCGGCTATTGAGATCAGTGGTTGCGGTAGACATTGGCCAAGTCGTTCCTTTGCCGGTACTTGGGCAGAGTGATGTGATCTATTGTGGGCATCGTGCGCATGGGACCAGACTAGGGATTTGGGTCTTCTATATGACTACTGCCTTTCATGGTTGGACCGGGCCCTATGCCTATTTGTGCAGTGCTTTTTGGGGTCATTAGTTTGAGGATTAGTCATGGTAAGCGCCTGTGCGGCAGGGCAAGCGATCTGAGGGGTGTGAGCTAGTTGTCTCAACGTCTCCATCATTGCATGGATGTGGTCAATTTTCTATTGCATTGCCTGGAATTGTGGGGTCGATCGTGGTTTGTTGTTGGGGCTCCCGGGGCAAAGAACTGCGAAGGTAGCAAAATTCCCAAGACGGGGGACGAGCTCCAGAGCGGTTAGATGTATTCTTAGGCATGGTTGTTTCGAGTTTGCGAAAGGAGGTTTGGAAATTGCTTTTTGTGAATTTCTCACATACGGGTGCCAATCTGATGTTGTCCGACCCGAGGTATTCCAAATCGAGGATACAATCATATAATCCTGCCAATTGGAAGAAGCGAAGGTAGAACGATGAAGCCGCACACTAGGATTTGCAACTAGGAGATAAAATCAGAGGCTCGAAGAGTTATTCCCCGGGTAGGTACTCTGATGCTCAAGTCAGCTGAATAGAGAAGGAAGTGGTCGAGCTGAACAAGTGAGAAAAGTGCTGGTCCGAATAGAAGAGATCGCATAGAGGTATTCTCGGAGTGTGCTTCCAAAAGTCCCTTACCTTGAGCAGAGATTCCCTATTTATATTTGTATGTTTGTGTTCTAAACTGATGAGGCTTTCGGGGTCATCAGGATAAGGTTCCCTGCTGAGGTCTTCGGGATGTCTCCTCCTCCCCGGCGAAGTTCACCTCCTTGTCCGTGCAGGACACTCCTTCTTAGTCATGATCATTTGTCATGCGTAATGCTGACATGGCGAGAGAGAGAGAAGATGGCCGCAGAAGCCGCCACGAGGTATCCTTGGCCAACTCAACCATGACCCAAACAACATTTTTTCAGTGTAGGAGGCTTAGCCATATGTTTGAAGGAAAAACCTTTTTGTCTAAGAACATTGGTCAAAATTTGCAGCATTATTAGATTCACTTTTAAATTTAAGTAGCTGAATAAAACAATCCAATTCTGACGCGATCTCACATTTATCCTAACATACCATTAATAACGAATCCGAATCTTCTACCCACACCTACCAACCAAACACTACAACTGTCACTTTGACATTCCACACATTGCACCCCTACATGCACATCTCAGCATGCATTGGGAACAACTCCCATACTTGCCATGGGGAGAAAATCTCAATACGGGGATGAGATGGTTTGTGGGCACGTGTGAAGCATGCTCTATAGTTGTAGTCTCCTGTGGGTATGTGTGGATAGGATCCTTGTAGATAGGAGATCTGAGCTCATTAATAACTAGCATGGCATCCGGGTACTCTTATTACCACCAATATATTCTTGACATTCTACATTGAGATCCATATATCCTTATATATAGAAAACTATCAGCAGCGGAGAAATTACAAACCAAAGCAGAACTAAGAAACAAATTGCAAGAACAAATACATAGAAGATTGAAGAACCCTACTTAACAATATGACGCCAAACTTCGCAAACAAGATTGAAGTTGATTGTCTCGATATACTATCTTCCTGCAATTAGGAAGGTTATAGTTAGGTTTACAAAAAGTAGGCAACCGTAATTAAATACAAAGGACAAAAAAAGTTAATTCTGCAACTATGTTCTTACCAACATGTGATAAATGATAATAAAGCAGAGATTCTGCCACAATAGCCTTGACATGATTTCAAATATAATTAGGTTCTTAATTGTAATTATCTGAATATAGATTATAAGTAATATATGGGTTAACCGGATGGAGCTAATAGAACAAGAGAAATTAAGGGGGCATTTTTTTTTAGATTTTAAGAGGGGGAAAGTTGGTCAATGGGCTTTTGGTTCCCATTGACCAAACATATCACGTTCATTTTTAAGATTAAAGTGGGGAATAGGGAAAGTTTATTTTTTTGCATATCCATCTCTTAGGTGGGTAAATAACTTTCTCATCTATGAGGAAAGTTGTTAATACTTGAATGAGACAAAAATTTCCCTTTTAATAATGAATTTTTATGAGTAAAATGGTCATTACTTTATTTACCTGAGAAATAAAAGAACATGGGTAAATGCACTTACCCGGATAAATGTTTTCTAAGAAAAACTTACCCAAGTCATTGCATTTACCCGGGTAAATAACTTACCAGAAAACGAACGGGGCCTAATAGAATAAGAGATTGAGTTAAAATGAAATAAAAGATATATCTGAAACACCCTTCCACTTTTATCATTTTCTGTTAAATTTACCCTAACCTTTTGAAACTTCCAAACACTACACCCCTCCCTGTCAACATTTGCCATTAAAAAACTAATGGCATATACCGAAGTACCATGATGCCCCTCTGTTCAACTCCATTCTTTAAACCAAAATTAAATAGGCCCATACGACTATTGATTGACAAATTGAACCTTTGGTGGGTTGTAAGATGTGTAAACATGAAATAGACAACAAGACAGGAGAGAGAAATAAACCAAGACCTTGTGGTCGCACCTTTTAATTGAGAAGTTTGAGATATTGTTACTTGATGTTAATGAACGCCGGTTTCAAGAGAGATTTCCTTGATTTTGATCAATTCCCTTACAACATCACTCATGTCCATTCTTTCTCTGGGAGATTCAGCGGAGCATTGGACTCCAATTTTCAGTACTGAAGTGATACACTCTTGCATTTTATCCGCCACGTAATTGTGATCAAGATTTTCAAAGTTCGTTGTGGCTTCATCTTCTATTTCTCCTCTTACATGGTTGGTTAGGAGTAATGTTGGATCCAGAATCCTGATCACAGCTTGTTCAGACAAAGCCGTCTTTGCAAATTTATGGAGGTTAAAATCATCTCTAAACATTTCATCTGTTGGTCTTCTTCCGGTAAACATCTCTAGCAAGAGGATTCCATAGCTGTACACATCTCCATGTGTTGATACTTCACCACTTGTACCATACTCTGAAACATAGGCATCTCATTAAGAAATAAATGGAAAAAAAAAATCTAAGAATTGGGGAATAGTCAAAATACTCCTATCAATATATATATATATATATATATATACAATTGAATATGCATGCTTTTATAATTAAAAAACCATGAACATATAAAAACTGTAGCCACAAAATCAAGGATATGCTCAGTATGGGATAATATTGTACTAGTTGGGAATTGACAAGAACAATGAGCCGGTGTTCTCTTTCCTGAATATTATGAAATGGAAACACGGTTCGTAAAAAAAGATTGGTTGCATTTTATTTAAATTATGAATCATTTATTTATAAAATATTCACTAGGGGGGGTGGGGGTTCATTCTACGATTTGCAGAAAAGTAGGATACCAGAAGAGCTTTGAAAAATCAAAAACCCCTCGGCCTAATTGGTGTGCATGCACGTCCTCACATTTAGAAGGCTTTTACCTCAAACACACGTCTATGCCTCTGCATACAAGAGGTTACAAGGTCATCTATTAGTATGATCCGTGCTTCAAACCCAATATCTGATATAATAACAATGAAGGTTAAAAATGTATACATCATATCAGTGTTTGGGGAAAAATTATCTATGCTCTTTTATACGTAATGCCAACCACAGTTTTAGAGGGATGAGATAGGATTAGGGTTGGAGTTCAACAGCTCAGTTGGGTTAGGTCTGATCTCAACATGATTTAACCAGGTCCGATTTGCACCTCTAGTTGCAATGGTATTGATGAGGGGCGATTTGGCCCTCCATAGACGTGATGATATGTGGTACCTCAAAACAGCCAAATAGCATCTCAGCATCTCAGCATCTCACACCTGCCTTAACAATCTCGGCACCACTTTGGCAGGCTGAACTGCAAACAGCTCGACATCAGGTCGACATAAGAGGCAACCTGCTTCTACTGACCTGACCTGAGTTCGGTTAGCGACTTGCTTAACGTGTTGGGCGATCTCTTCCATGAGCAGGTTATGGTCTACGATTTCCCCATGATCACGATGCCACATCGGAGGAGTCAGTTATCACCCCGCCTGCTTTGGGCGCAACTGGATAGACACTACCTACTTATGTGGAGTCCATCTCTAGGCGTGAAACCACCTCTGGACCAAACAGTCCAAATATCTCGAACTCGCTAACTTAAGCATCGGAGTGCCCAACCCGAGTAAAGCAATCCAAACACTCTGATCACTTCTTTCTTGCAGCTCAACCAGGTGACCTACTTAGTCCCATGTCCGAGCTTTCCTTCAGCAAGGAGCACTAGATTGCGCATCATCAATTCATCAGGTACTAATGTTTTTCCTTTTTTTATCTATGTTTTGCATGCTTAATAGCATCTAGCTGGCTTAAATTATAAAAAAAATGTATCTAAAATAAACTACTCACTTCCCTCATTTTGAAGGTGATGAAGCGTAATCTGGCCACTCCCTCATGTCTTGTGACTTGCCTCAAACAAGGTTCTGATTTGGCAGTGCCGAGTTGCACGGCCGAGCTTATGCCTGTGTGTCTGAGCTGAAACGAGTTACGAAGAGGAAGGGTGAGAGTGCCCAGGTAGTTTTACCCAGGGAGAGCACTCTGATGCTTAAGTCAATATTGGAATCGCTTGAGAACGTGTGAAAGAGCTAGAGTATATCAGTATGCATTCCTTTCTGGGTGGATCTGGGCATCTTATATAGGCCCTTGGACTCCAGGGGCTCAGGGTAACTGTCTTGAGCTATTTGTCGAGCTGCTTCCCTATTTTCGGGTGCATTAAGGTGTTAGTTGGGAGATCTTCGCGAGAGTTACAATTTGTTCGCGTAGAATCTGGTGTACGGTACGACGAGCTGTTCTAACGGTTTTACTATTGGAGCCTTTGGTAGCAAGCTACTGGGGTTGGCTCCTAGAACAGGTCACCGTAATCTTACGGGTCTACTAGCTCAGCCTCATTGAGGTGGAATTGTAGGGGTGGTTAGCGAGCTCTCCTTAGCAGGTCGCCTTAAGTCCCGACAGCTCACCGTAATCCTACGGGGTCAACTAGTTCAGTCTCGCTGAGGTAAAGGTCAACCCGGGAAAGATGCTCTGAGATAATTTTACTAAGCTAGCTTGCAGACTTGCCGGTGCAACGGACATCACGAAGAGAACGGTCTACATTGAAGACCCGCCACGACATAGCACAGAAAGGGTGGTAGAAGAGGTCGCTCCTATTTTGACTGCGGAACCAAGCTGGATCAACCCACTCGTTGACTATCTGTGCCACAGGACCCTATCAACAAAGCGCAACACAGCTCGGAGGGTAGAGCGACAATCAACTCGCTATGTTATCATTGGCAAGCAGCTATATTGTAGGATTGGCGAGCAGCTATACTGTAGGTCGTTCATGCTCCCCTACTTTCACTGCTTGCGTCCAACAAAAGTGAAACAGGTGTTATGCGAGATCCATGAAGGTCTCTGCGGAGGACACTTGAGGGGTAGGGTCTGGCCTAGAAAGCCTTACAATAAGGTCACAATTGGGCCACAATGAAGGCAAATGCAGTGGAGTTAGATCAAAAGTGTGACAAGTGTCAGTGACATGCTAACATACCACATCAACCTGCCGCCGACCTGAGGTACCTTACCAGCCCATGGCTATTCGCGTAGTGGGGGATAGATATCCTCAGTCCCTTCCCACCTACGACTGGGTAGAGGAGGTTCTTGGTGGTCACGGTAGAATATTTTACTAAGTGAGTGGAAGCAGAGCCTCTAGTATCCACCAAATCTTGCAATGTCCAAAATTTCTTCTAAAGGAACATCGTCTACAGATTCAGACTCTCCAAGGTGCTAATGTCAAACAATGGAAAGCAGTTTGAGGGCATTAAGTTTCAGAACTGGTGTGCCAAGATGGGAATCCAACAGAACTTCACCTCAGTGGCTCACACCAGGCGAACGGTCAGGATAAAGTGACGAACAAGGCGATCCTCCGTGAACTGAAAGCTCGACTTTCCTAAGATAAGGTTTTGTGGGTGAACAAGTTGCCCAGTGTTCTCTGGGCCTACCGAACTACTATCAAGATGGCGACTGACGAGATGTATGGGATGGAGGTTGTCATCCTAACCGAGATTGAAGTGCCGACTTTGCAGTTTAAGACGTACGAGGAGGAGGCCAAAATGCTTTCAGCTCTAAGGTCCCCTATGCCGACTTGGAAGATGTCGGCAACTCGACAGCTCAGTAATGCTTTAAGTTAGCCAAGAAGATATACAGTTTGACAATGTTTTAACTTAACTGAAATCTAAACCTAGTCACTTTGGGATCTAGGCATAGGTGCACCTGGACAACCTCAGATCGTGTGTACAAGAAAGACTGATCTATTCATTCAAAGAAAGGAAAGAACATTCAAGACACATAGACTCCAAGAACAGTAAGATTCTGAAGACATGAACAAAGATTCCCCATCAGCAGCTACTCTTCTTCATCACCCTGCAGACCATCATCGACCTCGTCCTCCACCACATCGCCAACCTCGCCAGCCTCCTCATCCGGAGTTAGAGGCTCTTTGTCAACTTGCACAGCCAACTTGTCTGGTACCAACCTAATCGATAGAGTACCAAAATCAAAGTTAGAATGCAAGGACTTGAGGAAGCTGCGACATAGCTTGAATCCCTTCTTCATAGAAGGAATTGCGTAATCGAATCTTCTCCTTCTCATACCCCAATTGAAAACGCGGACCTATGAATACATCAACTACTTTTCCACCTTTCATGTCGTTTGAATTTCCGGCATCTACCACACCCCATACTACCTTTACACCCCTTCCCTTTGTGTTCACCGCTTCGCCGCACCAACCACCACCCCAACCAGCCTTTAGCTTTACATAACAGTCCTACTGCTAGCCTCCACCCCAATCAACCTTTTTGCAGAACAGTCCTACTACCAACCTCTAGCTTTCTAGGGCAGCCCAATTCCCAGCTCTCTCCAACCCTATTCGGCAAAGACAATCCCAAGTTTAATACACCACCTCCTTCATTCTAAACCCCCTTAAAGGATCATTTGGAGAGATTGAAAGAAGAGATGAGGCAAGTGAACAAGAGTGCGTAATTTGGGAATCACGGATTTTAAGGAGTTATGCTTATACTTGGAGGCCAAGTTGCCTAAGAAGTTCAAGATGCCTAATTTTAAGAAATATGATGGAAAAGGTTGTCCGCAAACTCACTTAAAAGTCTTTTGTATGAATATGTTTCAATATGGTTTTAATGAAGCTCTTAATCCAAATGTTTCAGAAGAGCCTAACTAGGAGTGCTAGATTGTGGTTTGCTAATCTTGAGGAAGAAAAAAATAAATCATGGAAAATGAGTATCTGAAGCATTCTTTGACTACCTTTCCTACAACATGGAACTAGTGCTAGATTGAGTAGATCTTGAGTCCATGCCTTAGAATCCTGGAGAATCTTTCCAAGATTATGCTTATAGGTGGAGTGAAATGCCATCCAAACTGTGTCACCCCATGCCCAAGGAAGAAATGTTTAGACTCTTCATCAAGACTTTGAAAGATCCATACCATACTTTGTTGGTTGCAAAACCGCTAAAGGACTTTAGTGAAGTGGTGAAAGGAGTTGTCAAGATCGAAGAATCTCTTAGGCATAGACAAATTAAGCCACTGATGATTGGAGTAGGGGTAACCACCTTTAAGCCAAAGAAGTCTGGAACCAAGCATCAAGGAGGGAGTGAAGTATAGTTTATATCTGGCCACCCAGCGAGATTTGTAGTCACAACTCCATATAATCCTTCTTTTAGGGTGCCTACTCAAGTGTGTGTATCAATAGCTAGCTTTCGATCTCTTTAAAACACCCGAAAACCCAAAAAACCCAGATTTTAGCCCGAGAGCCCTCAGATCCCCTGTTAAACCTGCCCAATACCTATTCGATGTCCCTGATCGACCCCTACTTACACCTCAACCAATAGATCTGACACCACCATGAGACCCAGGACCACCCAAAACACTTATGAAATTTCAGCTCAAGATTCTCTTGTT